CAGAGTTGTGTTTGATCTTGGGGGCGGGGGGGGAGCTCAACGTCACTCCTGTCAGGGGCACCTGTCGTGGCCTGAGTGCTCTGTCCGTGAAAACAAATCCCAAGCTCCATTTTAGGCTGCCATGGCCTCCTGCAACCCTTTGCCTGTGAAAACGGAACTCAGGAGCGGCCCTTCCGAGCTCCATTTTCACTGGCAGAGGGTTGCAGGAGGCCATAGCAGCTGAAAACGGAGCTCGGGAGAGCCTGATTTTGCTGGCAGAAGTACCACAGGCTGGTCCTTTGCTGTTTCCAGGGTGGCCCCTAGGCCAGATCTAAGTACCCCGTGGGCCGGATCTGGCCCCTGGGCCTTGAGTTTGATATCCCTGGGGTAGACAGTACCTTGCTGTTGTCCAGACTCAGGGACAGGGGACATTGGCAGCTTGGTGGGTTTGGGGACTGGGTTTTGGAACTGGGAACAGGTGGCCAAGAGTTTCATTTTTTGGATTTGCTGTTCTTCTTCGGCTTCAAACTCCATGAACCTAGGAAAGGATAGAGATGAAGAAAATTGAGTAGGGGGTCAAACATCTTAAACCCACACTAGGTAAACATTGCATATATTGAGGGCCCCCGGGGGATACTCAAGGGAGAGTTGGAGCCAATTCTCACTTTTCTGCCATTTCATAGAAGATCATGCGTTCAAAATTGCTGCTGTGCTCCCATTCCTGCACAGCGCGAGGGACGCCATCCTCTAAGGTCATGTTGGGACGAAGGCGGGCCAGTGAACGGAGGACGGGGCTGTAGGGCAGGATGGCAATATTGTGTATCAACAAGATTTCCCAATTCCAAACAGCCCTCTTCACTATAATGAGGTACCATCGCCCATTATAGCACCTCCCACCACAAGACTCATGACTTTCTGTCCCACCTACCCACCCCTCCTTCCCCAAGCCCTCATCTTCAAGACCACCCCCTCAAAGTACCTTCTCAGCTTCTTGGCCTCTCCAACAGTGTGTCTCAGTGGTTACGGTGCTGTGATAGAAGTGTAATTGATATAAGTGTACAAAACAAGAAGAGAGTAGCAAGGGGTGAAGGAACCAACATTTCGAGATGCACTTTAAAAAAACAGTAAGAAAAAGATGAGGGGGAAGTTAGCAATAGATTGTACGAAGACTGGCCTATGAGGGAAAGCAAAAGAAAAATTTGCAGCTCTTTAAGAGTGGCTTTCCTTTGGACCAGATTTTTTAGAAACATTTTTTTGGGTGGTGTTGGTATGGATTTTAATTTTGATTCTGCTTTCTTTCTTGACATCACACAAACATTTGACACAAACACACTGAGAGATGTAAATTTATGCAGTCTAGTTTAGAATAGTGATGAGACTAGAAATTCAGGGTTAAATATCCTCTCTGCTAAAACATACTGACTCTGGCTTAAATATTGGCTATGTTAAACCATAAACTAGACAACCACATATTTGCTTCTCCAAGATATATGATTGGTTTATGATCCAAATACTGGATGAATCCTGAAATGATCACCCATGATTATCCAGTTAATTGTAAGTAAATATGTCCTGTGATGAGCAAAGCAACATCTGAGACCAAGATACCCTACCTAATTTTTGGAAGGATAAATCTGAAGGGAAGGTTACTACTGATGCCACTTGGATGCTGATGAAGAAAGGTGGAATATAAATTAATCACAGAAAGAAACATCTTCTAGTTGTCTACCCTTAGACTCACAGATCTGAAAATTTAGATGGACCTCTTACTTTGGAGGTAAAGTTGAAATCTCTGTGAAATTTTTTAACTGGGCTCAGTTTACATCCTGGATTTCAGGCTTCACAAAGAGAAATTTGAGATGTGGAGCGAACCAGTTCTTGGTTTGCTGCCAAAGTCATACTGCTTTGGGCCAAGCTATTTCCCTCCCTCTAGTCTATTATTCTAACAGGTTGAACTGAGCATCTTTTGAAAAGTAGGATTCTCTCTAAACCTGGCATCTTGTCCTAGCTAAGGATAATTTAATTTTAAATGTCTTAATCCCGACTCATAGTCTAGGTTCATGTATTGCTTGATACTATGGTTTATCAGAAGTCACTAAACCACAAAGTCTAATATATGGTTGGGTTTACCCAACCAGACAAATCAAAATCTAATAAATTCCCTTAGGGTTTGGTATATTGTCTGAACCCTGTCTACATCTCTTTATCATCCCAAATCAAGATCAGATTTCCAACCTATGGATCTTGCCCACCACGATCCTCACATGAAAAAACAAGCAAGAGCTTCTGCATCAGGTGTGGCTGGGAAATGGCGCCTTGCCAAAGCCTTGTAGCGTTGCCAACGCCGGTAATTCTCATAAACTCCCTTGGAGGTACAAGCAAAAGAGGTGTCACTGGAAGGTGACCCTTGAGCAGATGGGATAGCCTCAGGTGGTCTGGTTTTCCGACCACCTGGCTCCTCACCGGCTTTCGTCAGCAATACAGTGCGGATGCCGGGACCACCAGGCCCGTCCCGGCGCTGGGTGGCCCAACCCAATGGCATCCCTGTCAGGAAGAAAGTCTGAGTTTGGGGCAGCTCCTCGCTACCTCCCATAACAGGTCCTTCACGTTTCAGTTTGATGATCAGCTTGCTTCCTGGGGTATCAGCTGAGGTCACCAGTAAAGCAGCCCCAGGAAAAGCTGGCAGGAGCAGTGAAGGAACATTTGGAGGGCAGGGTGAGAGGCCAGGGCTCTGGGTATGATTCTGGGAAGCCATGATCCTATAGGAGAAAGAATCTTAAGCAAATTGAGGTGACCAAGCAAACTGGCAGCCTTTTGTTCTCAGTGAGATCCTGGTGTAACAACATTAGTGGAAGTGGATTGGATGCTGGGTCTTCTGGGAAATTTATGAGGCCAGCATCTGGTTTCCAAGAAGATCGTTCATTGTTGACGTGACTCTAAGTGCAAAGGTTGAATAACGGTTCCAGAACTTGGATGTCATGGTGGTTCTAATAAGGGGGAGGAAGTTTAAAGTTCTACCTGCAGATCCGATCTGAAAGTTCATACAGTGCCTCTTTGTTTATTATTATTATGGACCAGAAGGTCCATAATGGACCATAATGGAAAATACTTTTGAGATGCCATGGTTCCTTCAGCCAGAAGGAACCTTCTACTCCATCAACAGTACTTCCTGAGGGCCTTTTCTCTTAGGTCTTTTACCTCTTTATCTGTAAACTGGAATAGGTTACAATAAAGTATTGAGTTCCATGATTGAGATTCATTCCTGATGTTGACCTGTAGACAACAAGCTCTTATCAAGGTAAAGAAGCAAGTTTTAGAGATCACTTTGGGTTCAGTTGACAATCCTTCCTCTAGCTGAGACCTTTAAAAAATAATAATAAAGGAGCCTTATAAAGTTACATACCTTTCCCCAAATATGACCTAAGCCCAGTTTACCAAAACTGAAACAGCAAAAGGGAGTGAGTATAGTTTCTGTTTGTGAGGCGCAGTTTTTAATAAATGATGACATCGGGCAGTGAATTGTAGGCACATATGTTATCCCCTTGAGGGCAACCTAGATCAGGGGTCTTCAAACTTGATAGCTTTAAGATTTGTGGACTTCAACTCTCAGAATTCCTCTTCAAGTCATGTTAGCTCAGGAATTCTGGGAGTTGAAGTCCACAAGTCTTAAACTTGCCAAGTTTGAAGACCCTTGGCCTAGACTGACACAATGTAGACTAGTTGAAACTGTTTAACTGTTATACGGCGTGTATTAACAGAACTTTAAGAATTGTAGTTTGGAGAAAGTGCCAATAAATCTTTATCCAAGAGGGTTTGCTCACAGGTCACACAATGCAACTGGGGAGCTGGTTTTGGGTAACACCTAAGAGAAAATTTAAAATATATTTTAAAGACTATATTCCAGCTTTATTCGACAACCACATTGTATTCAAGGTAGATAGAGATTTGAGCTGGAGAATAATCTACATTTATTTCATTTGACAGCTTGGAAATGTGATACTCTTCTCTATTTGTTCAAACAACTGTGACAAATTAGATGCTGTCGTCCAAATTTTATTTTCCAAAACAGTCAAAAGTTTTGGGAACAGGTAGCTTCTAGGAAAAAAAGCGGTCAGTGTTAAAATACAACTGTTACTTTTTTTCCCTCTTTTTTGTCTGCTAAAATTCATCATTTATTATGGCATTTGTCAAATGTGGCAACTTTTAAGATGGATTTTAACTGCCGGCTGGGCAATTCTGGGAGCTGAAGCTCACACACCTTACAAGTGGCCAGGTTTGAGAATCATTGTGCTAGAGTGGTGGGTTCACACAGCACTTTTAAGCTAGGATCGTTTTGTCAACAAATCTGATTTTCTGGTAGTGGATCATAAAAAAAATATCCATGGGTGGGGCTTAATGCAAAATGCAGAAAATACAACATCGGTTTAGCTAGCTTGTGAGTTAGTGATGTGCAAACACAGACATGATAATTGGGTGTGGGCTTGGTACGCCTTTAAACTCAAGCCACTAGTTTATTGTGCAAACAAGGGTAAGTTAACTCAACCTGATTTGCACAGTTGCAAATCAGGACGTCACGTAGGGCCATTTTGGTTATTTTATTTTGAGGCCCTTATCACTCCATCCTTGTTTATCTACTGTACTAAGCAACATCCATGATCTGCAGATCTCGGGAAAATTATCCCTTTCGATATTTTCTAATGCAAAGTGCTACTTGTTACGCAACTATTCTGCATTTGTTTAATGCTACGACTGTATTTTCTTAGCAAGAGAACCAGTCAAGCGAAAACCTCCGAAAAACACATTCTCAGCGAAGATGTTTTCTGCAGCTCCTGACGCAGAATAATGAGGCTTGGCGCGGAGAAGAACGACTACCGACTATCCCAGAATTCATTGAGGGAAGAGACTACAACTTCCAGGAGAGCACAGCGAGCTAGGCAGTAACGTGAATAGTGGAGCTCGAAGCTTAATAAAACGACACGTCCCAGAATGCTCCGTTTCTTGGGCGGTTCTTCTTTGGCGGATAGGGGTTTAACGGAAGCGGTGATATCCACGTGTGTGTGTGTGTGTGTGCGGGGTAGGGTAAGGTACGCGGTATTTTTTGTTTGTTTCATAATAACCTGTGAAGTTAGCGACGTTGCGGTTGCAGCTTGGCCACAATGTTTCTGCAGTACTACATCAATGAACAAGGAGAGAGAGTCTACACTCTCAAGGTAAGGCTTGATTGCAACAGAAAAGAACAGAGTAGCAGAGTTGGAAGGGATCTTGGAGGTCTTGTAATCCAGCCCCCTACCCAAGCAGGAGACCCTGGCCTATACCATTCAGACAAATGCCTTTCCAATCTCTTCTTTAAAAAGCCTCCAGTGATTGGAGCGGCCACAACGTCTTGGGCGAGGGATTAGACTAGATGGCCTACAAGGTCCCTTCCAACTCTGTTAATGTGTAATCCAGTCTGGAGGCAAGCCATTCCATTGATTGTTTTCACTGTCTCCTTAGTTCTAGGTTGCTTCTCTACTTGATTTGTTTCCATCCGTCCTTTCTTGTCCTGCTTTCTGGTGTTTTGCCAAATAGGATGATCTGCTCTTCTTTGTGGCAGACCCTCAATTATTGGAACAGTGCTATCGTGTCACCTTTACGCCTTTTCATTAAATTAGATCAATCCAGTTCCTGCAACCGTTCTTATGTTTAACAGATTAATAGAGTTGGAAGGGACCTTGTAGGTCATCTAGTCCAAAACCCCATCCCCAAGCAGAGACCCTACACCTACACCATCTTGGCCAGATCTTCCATCTCTTCCAGTGATGAAACTCCCACAAGAAGCTGTTCCATTGGTTGATTAGTTCAGAAAAAATTCCTTTATTTCGAGGTTGAATCTCTCCTTGATCACTTTCCATTATTTCTTCTCTGGCTTTCTGGTGTATTGGAAAATAACTTGACCCCCCTCCTCTCTGTGGGAGCCCCTCAAACATTGGAAGGCTGCTATCATTTCTCCCCTAGTCCTTCTTTTCATTAGACTATAGACATACCCAGTTCCTGCAACCATTCTTCATATGTTTCAGCCTCCATTCCCCTAATCATCTTGGTTGCTGTTCTCTGCACTCTTTCTAGAATCTCTACCTCTTTTCTATAATATGGCGACCAATATGGTTATATAATATAGCAAGCAATATGAATCGCCTTTTGACGATTCATCCAAATGGTTGTCCTATTTTGTTTTGGTTTTTTGCTACCTTGCAGCTAATCTTGATGCACCTGATAAAGCTTGCAAACAGTTCTTTTCATAGTATTTTTCTTAATTATCTTTTGGAAAGTAAAGGGAGATGGAGAATGATCTCCGTATGCAATTGGATTCATTTCCAGAGTGTAATATGGGAATATTTTTTGTTCAATTTAAAACTAGGATAATTATTTTTTTAGGCTCTTCGAGATTTTTAGTGTGGGCAGGAAAAAGGGGGAAATGATGTGGAAAAAAAAAAGTTAGAATTAGTTCGTTATCTAGATTTGGGAATTGACTATTTGTTTACTGTGTCCTTAGAACCTTTCATATTCCTAAAAATGAAAAACTGATAAAAAGATATTCAAATCACAAATATGCAATTCAGGGCTAGAGCTATAACATGTATGTTTGTTTTGTGATATTAGGGCTTTGGTTGCAAAGCATGCACCAATAATAATAATTTATAATTTATTAATAAAGCTGCATACATACTGATAAAGTCTTACCCCATCACATTCCATGTTTAACTGAGATTGAAAAGAAGTAAATGTGAATAATTGATGTGCCAATACCAGGGAATAGTAGAATAGAAGGTAGAGAATTGGAGAAAATCACAAAATATCAAGGTTTGAAATTATAGCATAAATTTGCCATAGTGGTCCCAATGGTTATCAGCATTCTTGGTACCAGACCAATAATTCTTAGCTGACCCTTAGAAAAATATGCACATTGACCAACTTTCAATCTATCAATTGCAAAAAGCCACACTGCTTGGAACCAAACATTACATTCATATATTATGAGGAAGATTTTAACTTCTGTTAGCACTTTCCAGTTTGCTTAGGGGGTCAGTTGATTGGTGGTTGAATATACTTCTCTGAATTAAAGAGTAGCATTTCAACATAATCCTTGTGTAGAGTACTGAGTATCTCAGCATTGATTTTTCATGATCTTTAATACTTTGCACATGTTCTGGATAGGGTTCCAGTGAGCTTTTGATAAGTTATGCTCATGCAGCTATTTCATCCGAGATGTAGGGGCTGGCATGGCTTTAAGATGGAAAATGTTGATTTAAAGCCAATACATGATCTTCTTGAAACTAACACATGGTTCTGTCTTGCCTCCCCGGCTTTGTAGAAAATGGATCCGTCCGGCCAGCCAACATGTTCAGCCCACCCTGCCCGCTTCTCACCTGATGACAAATATTCTCGACACAGGATCACTATCAAGAAACGTTTTGGTGTCCTGATGACCCAGCAGCCTCGGCCTGTGGTTTAAATATGCTTCCATCCTGCTCCCAAGTTACAAAGGTGGCAAGATAAGCTTTGAGAGCAGCTTTGAAGAAGAAGATGAAGAATACCTGATGATCTGCATTCTGCCGTCCACATTGTTGTCTTACTTTGCTGATGTTTTTCAAACTTGACTTAATGCCCTGTGTGTTTTGTGCACGAGGAATTATGACACCCTGCAAGCAAGACAAAATTACTTTATTCATGTTTTTCCTGGCCATGTAATTCTGGAAATAAAGTGTCAACCCATAAAACATTCCTATGCCTGTTTTAGTAGTTGCCATAAAAAAAGGGGGGGGGGGGGCAGGAAATCTGGAAGAGCACTTGAAAGTGAAATTCCAAACCTTATCTTTAAAAGATTGTAACTAAAATACCAAAGTTTTTGCCCAGTAATATATTTAATTGGAGAACGTGAATGATGACACCCAGCCAGTGAATGTGCTCAATTGAAGAATCTGGTTTATGAGACACCCAGGGGGGAGGGGGGAAACAGGGTCACAGGGGACTGTAAATTACATATGCCAGAGTTGGCTTCATACAGGGAAGTACCAGTAAGTTGCCTCTAATGAATCCTTTGAGGTTTTTTGAAGGTTGGCTCAAGAATCATTTAATTAGGGCGATTGCTGGAATCCTGACAGCAAGCCAACTCTGGCATACATAATTTACAGTCACCTGTGACCCTGTTTCCAGAGGAGCCACAACGCCAAACCAGCAGGCTACTTTGGGTTCTTAAAGACTTTACACTTAGCATGGAGGCAATTCTGGTGGCCTGGCAAAAAGAAAGACGTGGACAGTTATGTGAAGAGTTGTACCATCTGCCACAATGAAAAAACGACCAGGAACACCACCACCACCACTCCGGACTGCTATAAACGGTAGCAGAGCCAACAAGGCCATGGGAGGAGATTGCAATGGACTTCATAGTGGAGTTGCCAAAAAGTGGGGGGAACACAGTGATCTGGACTGGAATAGACTTATTCTCCAAACAAGCACAGCACCTCTATCCATCTGCATGGAGTACCATGAAGAATTATCTCACACAGTGGTCCAGTTCATGGCTAAGTTCTGGAGGGAATTCCTGTGGTCTATTGGGTCATCCCAGGGTCTTAGTTCAGCCTTTCATCCAACACCAATGTGGGGACAGAAAGACTAAATGCCAGAGCAGTATCTGAGGTGCTATGTGAATTATCAGCAATCTAATTGGGCAGACCTGCCACTTTGCAGAGGTTGCATTTCCTGTTCATAGTAGCACAGGACTCACCCACTTCAGAGTAGTGAGTGGTATGGACTTTGTCCCAATGCCTGAGTATCCAAGGGATTTCCCCCTCATCAGTCAGCCTGATCAAGTAGATGTCAACGCTGAAAGCAACTTAGGAGAATGTTAAAAAAGCGCTAGCTAAAGCAGTGCAGACCTTTAAAAAACAGGCAGACAAACACAGCCCTGCAGTGGCCATTCCAGATGGGGAAGCAGGTCTACCTCTCCACAAAATATCTGAGGGTAAAACTCCCAAGCAAGAAATGGGCCAAAGTTTATGGGGCCATTCCCCATAATAAAGATTATCAACCCAGTCATAGTACAGTTGAAGTTGTTCCGATTGCTAGGGAAGATATACCTGGTATTCCATAGTAGCCTCTTAAAACCTGTGGTCGGATCGACTCTCAGGCCCCTACCTCATGAGCCCCCAGACCCCGTGGTCATAGAAGGCCAAACCCATTATGAGGTGCAGTAAATCCTTGATTTGAGGTGGTACAGGAGACAATGCCAATACTTAATCAAGTGGAAGGGCTACCCATTATCAGAGGCATCTTGGGTAGAGTAGGAACATCCAGGCTGATTGCCTTATAGCAAGATTCCGTGCAGAAAATCCAACCAAGCCTCGGGGGGGCTTCGCAACCCTAAATTCTATATCTACACTCAATTTGTTTTGCTTTATATAGGCCACCTTCAAGAAGTGAGAGGAGCCGAGTGTCAACTCATAAAACATTCCTATACCTGTTTTAGTAGTTGCCATAAAAAGTGGGTGAGAGGAAGAGCAGTTGAAAGCTAAAGTACATTCCAACTCTTATCTTTAAAAGAGTGTAACTAAAATACAAGTGTTTTTGCCCACAAATATATTTAATGGAAAACATGATGACACCCAGCCCGTGAATGTGCTCAATTGGAGAATCTGGTTTATGAGACACCCAGGGGGGACGGGGGAAACAGGGTTACAGCTGATTGTAAATTATGTATGCCAGAGTTGGTTTCATATAGGGCAGTGCCAGTATGTCGCCTCTAATGAATCCTTCAAGGTTTTTTGAAGGTTGGCTTGGGAATCATGATTTAATTAGAGCGATTGCTGGAATCCTGACAGATTTTTCCACTGTTCTATTTCTTTAGCATGATGAATGCATGTAGTATTTTGCTGAGAAGGATAGCTTACTTTTTTCCCTGAGTATGGTGGGGCTATCAATATCAGTAATGCTGGAAATAGCAGCTTGTATTTTGAGTGGATGATTTTTTTAGTTCTTAAGTTAACCAGCTAATTTTGGGAGATGTGGCACAACAAGTGGATGTTGAAAATCACCCTCATTGACAATTTCTCATCACATTGTAGGGAAATATTGAGTGGGGTACCATAAGCTTCTGTCCTTCCTTAGGTCGTTTTTTTTCTTTTTTTGTAAATAATTTGGGTGCAGAAAAAGCTTATTAAATATACTGATATTACAAAATTGGATGGGATACCTAATGCTCTGAAAAATAATCCAAAATGTTCTTGTAAATTTTTAAAGAATGGCTTGAAAATAACAGTGAAATTGAATAAACAAATGCAAAGTCATCCCTCTGAGAAAAAGACAACAAATGCATAAATATAGGATGGGGCTTGGCAGTAACATTTAGAAAAAAGGCTTTAGAATAGCAGTTCATTATAAGCAATCTGAGTCAGCAGGGTAGTGATGCAAAGAAGGCAAATATTGTAGGCTTTTTCAAAGGAAGTATCATTTCCAAATCATAAGTAACAATTTCTATTTATTCTGCATTAGTTGGATGCCCACCTTGAATTCAATACTGGGTACTACTTTTTAAAATTCTGAAGAATTGAAGCAAGTTTTATAAAAACTACAAAGATGAACTGGGAGATGATGAACATATAGAGAAAACTAAAGGGTAATAATGATTTTCAACTCTCTGAAAAGTTGCCAACAAAGAAGGCTAAAACACTGGTCCCTTCTCATGCTCAAAGATCAAAGTATAGAATTAAAATAGAGGAGGGCAGATTCCAGCTGAATCCAATAAATCTAAAGTTTGGATGAGAAGATGGCTTCTCTGGAATTGGGATGCCTTGACGATATTCTTGCAAATGAGCAGAAAAGTGCCTACATTATCTTATTTCTCAATCAGGCCTATCTATGCCAATAGCAGCCACATTAATGTAGGTCTTTCTTTTTTTTTTTTAGCAGTTTGAATTTTGCTGGTTGCTTAGTCTCAACAGATTGGGGCATTTCATTCAGTGGGTTACAGATGAGATTTCTTGTGCCATAGTTGAGAACCCAAAAAAGAAACTTTGTCTCATCTGATTCTTATCAAGAGATTGCCAATCTCCTCACCTGTTACCATCAGGGAGACATTATAGGTGTCTTAAAATGGGGACTAATAGACTGAATCAAACAGTACATTTGTGGTTTAGTCCTATGTATAAAGTGGCATTTTAAACTATCTAACTTAATATATGTTTTAAATAGGTTTTAGACTAGGTTTTTAATTATTATTACTTTAATTATTTTAATTTTTAAATACTCTAGTGTGATTGTGATGTGGTGTTTAGGGCACTGTGCTGGAGTAACTTTCAAATTTCACTGTATTTTGACTGCAATGACAATAAAGGTACTCTATTCATTTATTGTGTATCTTGGACATATTATCTGTCCTTCGCAGTTCTTGAAAATCTTAATGCTCTTGGAGAAAGGGTGATAAACCACACAAGACACTTCAGCAGATGGTTATTTTCTACTGCCGGTTGCCTGGCATCGCATGGATGCAGAATACTGAAGGGGGTTGCTTGTTATAAATTCTATCTTATCCTTGTGTTGCTTGGATTTTCACTTCCTGCTTCAAACTGGGGATGGGAAGAGCTGATCTGAGCCAAAGGCTGCTACTTAAAATGTCTCGTGTTCACATCTTGCTGAAACCGCACTAGAAGTAGGGGGAAGCCAAACAATAAACAGAAGGGCTGTCACTGCTAGATTTTGAGCAGAGGAGAGGCTCACGTGAGTTAAGCAAGGCTGAATCAGCGCCCAGTGTGACTTTCATGCATGCTGCTTGGGCTGATGCAGCTTTTTTTGCTGACCAGAAGTCTGTAAAAAAATGGGAAACAATTTCTATAATGCTTGCAAGTATATTTGAGGTGGTATGCCAGAATTGGATGTTACGCAGAACCAAAGTGTGGTTGGATAGCTTTGGGGTGTGAAGCAGGTGGTTTTCTACAGATATGGGATCATATCACTTTATCTTTTCCCCAACACCCTTCGGCTGCTTAGGACTTGCAGGGGGGACAATGTGCAACTGGTTAGCATGCATGATTAATCTTAAGAAGACTGTTTCAAGTCCTTGGCCTCAAACTAGTATCTCAGTATAAGATAGGAAAGGGCAGCATACCAAGCTCCCTTAAGCTTCATGGAGAAAACCATTACTAAACTTGACCTGCCCATTTATAATATGATGGACTATGACTCACGCTGGCCTTTGCTGAGATGATTCAGAAACTCTACATTGAATCCTTTCCAAATGTCTTCACAGAATTGCTTTCCTTTTTTAAAGTCGGTCTAGCAGTCTTGCCACCAAGAGGATCCAATAATTTTGGTCAAGAACTAGAAAAAGTTAACAGACCAATCAGTTGCTTCCCTCCTATAGTGTTGGGAAGCAAATTCACTTCTGATTTATCCATTTAATTTAATGAGTTAAATATGGTTTTCCTTTCTCAGAAGGTTTTCAGAAGGGGAGAGAAAGCAAAACAAGTTAATGGTGGGATTATTTAGGATGGGTAAAAATGACAAGACAGACTTCCATTGTGATGCCAATAATTTTGATGGCTTTAGAAAGGGATTAGAGTAACATTAGGCCCTCCATGACCACTAAGTTTTGGGAGGTATATATTTGGAATATCTCATGTGCCCTGAATAAGCACCAGTGACTCAGAAGCAAGCATGGAAAAGAGCTATTAGTCTCCTTGTATTGCTTGCAGGTTTCCCAGATGCATCAACCCCTATGGGATACATGCCCTAAAAGTCACCTTGGGGCCAAATCCAGCAAAACACTTCTAATGGCCTAAGGGCTCTGATATTACAACATATCTGTTTGAAGGGCATCACTGCCCTGGAGTTAAATGCATTTTAATATTGCATTGCTTCAATGGCTGCGCTGCATTATTCTACAATATCACTGCATGTAATGATTTTTTTCTTTGTACACTGTTATGTGCCTTTAACCTTTGAGCAATGTTTTAGCAACTTTAAGATGGGGGGGGTGAACTTCAACTCCCAGAATCTGGCTGGAGAATTCTAGGAATTGAACCCCCATCTTAAAGTTGCCAGGGTTGAGAAACACTGCCAGAGACTGTGGGCAGCCCCACCCTCCCAGAAGAATGAGGATTTTTTTTTAAAAAAAGGCAGAATATTATATTTCCTTAAATGAGAAATGGAGAAACATGTGTTTAGAGGCAGGAAGCAGCCCCCACGTCTCTCTTAATAGCCCAAAGCAGATGCTAGCACTTAAAAGAGATAAAGAGCTTACTTGAAAGAAGCCAACTATCTACATGGCTCTATTCATAAGCAAAGCAAATACTGCAGGCAGAAATCCATTCAAGACATTTTGAAACTGCTTGCAGCAAAGTTTGACAGCTAACAAAGGCAGATTGATAAGATTAGAAGCAGCCCCTCACCCAAGACCCAATACAAGATGAAAGCCATTAAGACAACAGGAATTGCCCAACACCCTTTCAGAATACAAGCCTCTTCACTGCATGACCCCCAGAGCAGTCCTGGGAGTTCAGATAAACAATAAGGCAGAGGTTGACCAAATTAGCTCAGACAAGCACCTAGGATTTGCATTTCCTCTTTTGCTATTCCTCTTTTGCTATGGATATTTCTTCCAACAAGACTAATCTTGAGTTGAGCTCTGCTCCTAGTGACTTATTGAGAATAAAGCAAGTGCCATTTGCCATTGCTGCATTCTGGGGTTTTCCACCCCAAATCCATTTCCAGTTTAAGTCTCCAGCCCTGAGATTTTGCAAGGAGGAACCAGGTCCAACCAAGCTTATCATCCCAGAAAAGCCAAGGTTGGCTAAGGATGAATTAGATGCCACACAAGTTGTGAATCCTGTCTGTGGCTATTTAGAGAAATTGTGTGTATGGGGGGCGGGGAGCTAAGCCCACCAAAAGAGGTTGCTCTCAGGTTAACTCGCAGCCTCAGTCATTAGTTGCTCGTCCAATTTTCCCGAAATCTCCCTAATCCTTCCTCTCGCTATAATTTTTTTCAGCGGCATAATCTTGGCGGTCAGAAGGACCCTCCCTCATTCTAGTGAAATTACATCCCCAACAACCCTCGCGCGTTTGTAGTCTCCCCTTCTCTCTCTCTCTCTCTCTCTCCTCCCCGACTTCCCGTTTCCAAAGGCTACCCAATCCTCGCCCCCATCTCCCTCGCCTTCGCGCGCTTCTCTGAAGATTAAAAAAAAAAAAAACCCCAGCAACAGTAACCGCTATTTCTTTCTGCGCTTGCGCGGACAAAAAAAAAAAACCCAGAGAGGTGGGTGGGGGTGTTGATAGCGGTGGAAACAGGGGAGGATGAGGACACTTAAAGAGAGCCCGCTCTCCCTCCTCCTCCCCCTCCTTTCCCAGCATCTGAGATAGCGGCAGTACCAGCGGGCGGGCGGGAGCTGCCGCTGTGTGCTGCGCGCGCCGGCCGGCCGGTTGGTCGGTCAAGTGAAGCCAAGCCGGCCAAAACAAGACGGCGAAGGTCTGAGAACGCGGGCAAGACCCTAATTTTGGAATGTTGGGGGAAGGAGCCTCTCTGTCTCTCGCGCGCCGCAGGTAAACAAAGCAACGGCCACTCTGTCCCGTGTGTGTGGGGGGGGGGGGGGGGGGGGGGGG